TTATTTTAGTATCATATGCATTATAATAGTATCATATGCTTTATAATCTACTTTTGTTTTAACCATTTCATTTGCCTTAAAGAGTGTAGGAGACTTGGAGCTGACAATAGCAGAACCTGTAAGGAATTGACAGGTGAAAGATATTACCCAGTTCTTTCAACCAGGAACTCTGAGAGACGACGCAGACCACTTGGATATATAAAAAATATAACCGTGCTGGTTTATTCAAAGGATCACAGGCAAAATTAACATCACACGTCCAGGCATCTTCCACCTCCAGTACTGCGCGCAGGCAGCCCGGAAGATGAAAAAAGCCCTGAACCTAATAGCCTATACAATTTAATCACCTGGTTGGGCTAGCCCCATCCTACACAGGCCACGTCAAACCGTGACGTCACCTGATATGCCAGCTTGGCAGCTGACCAGAGCAGTAGTCAAAACATGGAGAAAATTCAAGTGTGTGGCTGGTGATTAGTGGTGTGTATCTAAAAACATACAGGACATTCAGGAACACGTCCGGACAGTAAGCCTCGGAAGATATTATGATTAAGATTATGGCTGAACATATCATGCTACTAACAATATTCATCCTGCTTGCAGACTCTGCAATCTAGTTGACCTTGGCCTAGATGCAGCCTGCAGAACTCATGACAATGAACTAAGCATTTACCAGCCTGAGCATAGACAGCCTGTCTCCACTAAACATTTGCTAATACAACAGATGTCAAACAAATATCTATCTGACTAAGAAATTACCTAACAGGTAACTAAAGGGAACTACAGGTATGAGAAGTAACTAAAACTTATAAACTAACTAGAGTCTATAAGACTCAAATCTTACATACTGTATAGTATATAGTATCTTTTTTTTTTTAGATGTAATAGTTATACTTCATCATGGTATTTTCATTTTAAAAGGATATTTCCACCTTTACAAAAAGAACATTCTCAGGAAAAAGCTGAGTCCCTGTAGATTTGAAAGGACTGTTTGCTATTTGGTTGCTTCTACATATAGGTCTATATATACACTGCTCAAAAAAATAAAAGGAACACAAGGGAAAATAAGACATTCAGCTATGTAATGAACAAGGTATTTAATAAGAATATTTCATTCATTCAGATCTAGGATGTCTTATGTTGTGTTCCCTTTATTTTTTTGAGCAGTATATATATCTGCCCACTCAAAATAAGTTACTTGATGAAGCTTTAACACATGCCAGTTATCTGTAGTGTCATTCCTAAAATACTGTCATAGTTATGTTTGATCAGAAACCTAGTATATCTGTCAGATATTACTGCTTCAATCCACACTGGCCTCCCATAAGAACATTTGTGTTTTACGTGTGAAAATGTTAATGAATGATAATGTAGGGTGTTCATGAGCTTGTGAAATTCATTCATTTTCATTTTCTACCGCTTAGTCCCTGAACGGGGTCACGAGGGGGCTGGAGCCAATCCCAGCCGGCAATCGGGCAAAGGCGGGGTACACCCTGGACAGGTCGCCAATCCATCGCAGGGCTAACACAGAGACGAACAACCACACACACTCACACTCCTATGGGCAATTTAGAGACACCTAAGGTTCAGGGATTAAGCTTGTGAAATTGAGATATCTTTTTCTAGGTCCACTGACACCGTCATGATTCTGTCCCGCCTGTTTCCGCTCTCGTGCTTTTATTTTGACATTACTTTCTGTTTTTGGTTCACCACATTTTCGGACTTTTTACTTAATTGGCACTCTTTGTTTTCACCTGTTCCTGATTGATTACACCTGTTTCCATCCCATCATAAGCAGCCTTCCCCCACCAGTAACCTGCCAGATTGTTCTCTCACTCCCGTGCAGACTTTCCAGCACTCTTGTTTTTTTTTTTTTGGTATTTCCTGTTCTGACCTTGGATCATGTACTGTGGCCATTGTGTTCTGCCTTGCCCTGCTGCTTCGGGCTGCTTTCTGTGTATGGGTTATGAGACTTCCCTCTCTGACCTCTCGTGTTGTGGATTCCTCGGCTGTGTACGTTTGCTGGCTCTGACCCTGGAGTGTGTTTTCGACCCGAGTGTGTGCATTGTGTTTTACGTAGTTTTCTGTATCGTTTTGTTGTTCCGTGCTCTCATTAAAGAGACAGTTATTCACTTATCCTCGTCTGGCAATATAATTGAGTTCACCCTCGATATTATCGGCAGCTTCACGCTCCGATCCTGACAGACACATCAGGCAGGCCTCACATTATAAATCACTGAATCTGCACTGGGAAACAGACAAGGAAGTGAAATAACCTAATAATAATAAATATAATAATGTCGCTTGGGTTTTTTTTTTAAAGGTTTTTCCAAGTTTACCACTTGAGAAGGATGTGTTTCCATGGTGATTTTTGATTTTGGGGGCCAGGTGTCCATGGTGCAGATGGTGGCACTGGGACCCCATATACCATATAAATATACTGCACACACTCATCTTCTCATTCATAAACAAATGTCAAATAAAAGAAATGCACTATCACATATGATTTTGTATCAGCCAGTGTAATTTCAAGAGTCTGCCCACACACACACACAAAAACACAGTATAATTGTATTTCTCTCTTTGTGAGGGCACTCATTGACATAATGGATGTCCCAGCTCCTAACCCTGACCTTGACCATCAAAACTAAATGTCTAACCATAAACGCCACCTAAACCTAATTCTAATTGTTGGTCTTTGGTTCTTCTTACCATTGCTAACTCTAAGAGACGAGACAGTCCAAGTAACTTCAAAACAGTGCTGATTTATTCAAAGGATCACAGGTAAAATTAACATTACACGCTCAGGTATGCAATCTTCCCCTCAGACGTCTCTATCCTCTGGATAAAGCCATCCCAGAGAGCCTCAAAATCATCATTTTCATCACCACAAAGAGAATAATTAAAGGTACAATGCAGCTGATCAATTGGTTCAGTGTACTTATGAAGTATTGAAATCCATGGAAGCCATAACTTGAATGTGTGTACAAGATCAGTATTTTCAGGAGAGTCCACAAGTCCCCACCAAACATCAGCTGAGGAATCAAAAAGCAAGTCAACACCAGGGGGTGTAGTCTGCAACATCTGTCTGAATGTGGCTTTTGGAGTTGCACAACGTTGAACAGAACCGTCAGGAAAAGTGATGTCCACGTGGCATGATGACATCATCATGGTAACATTCAGAGTACACAAAATATCACGTGCAAGAAGATTAATGGGACAAGATGGAGAAAGTAGAAATGAATGATAAAATGAAAGATTATTCCATGTACAAGGAACTTCTTCAGAGAATGGCCACTCCTCCTTCATGCTCGAGAAACCAATAACAGATGTAGTACACCTTGAACGTGGGAGTGGCGAGTTTAAAATGGAGTACCTTGCTCCTGAGTCAATTAGACATAAATGATCTCGACCATTGATAGTCACATGGACTAGCGGCTCAAGAAACATGCTCTTTTGGCTCAGGGAGTCACCTATTATAGACCTTTGGCAGCCCTATTGCTGGGGCATCTGGTTGAATCCAGGTGCCTGATGTTGAGCTGGAGGTGTATATGGTAGTACATTTGTCGCCTGAGCAGGATATGATCCTGCTTGTCCTTGCGCCTGCTGATAATCCCTTTCATCTTTTTCTCTATCTTCTTTGTCATTATCAATATACTGAATAATATGGGCTGCCCACTGTTCATAGGGCAGAGCATTTAAGCCAA